GGTCATTTACCAGTATGAGAGCAGAAAATTGAAGAGAAATTCGAGCTCAATTCTGATGATGAAGGGAAAGTTGTGTCATTGTTTGCATCAGTGTCCTCATACTGATGCTGCCTAACAAGGTCACAGAAGCCTCCTTGCAATGGAGTACCTCCCAGGGAGCCCATATGCTTTGTTGAGCCTGTAAATAATGTGAGACGCTCACCGGCTCTATATCCAATATCACTACTCACGTTCGGTAGCTAGACATCTAGCCGCTGCCTCGCTTTCCGCAGATTTTTGAGCCTCAGTGTATGCCGCCGTTATGGTTGTATGCAGGACATATTCATGAGCTACGAGGTATACAGAGCACTACATGAAGGGGGAGTAAGCTAGAGCCCATCGATGGCGGGAGTCCAAGAGTTGCAGCAAAATCGACAGAGTAATCCCAATAAGATTGGCCCGGTGCACAATCTAGGGCGTCACGTGGTCGGAATTGTCACGCTGGGGCTTTGTTTGGCAGGCGTGAATGATGAAAACACTATAGGCTCTGCGGTGGGCCCTCTTTTCAAAAAAAGAAGACAAGAGACTTGTAGCTATACACCATTTGTACACTTCTCTGGTTTTCGAATCACCATTTTCATGCTCTGAACAAAGTAGATAGACGAGCAATGTCTGCGATGCTAGGGGGCGCTTATGATATGTCCGAAACCAGTAAAGTCTAGGAAAGGGAAAATAACATACCAGCTGGCAGGGCACCTACGCCCTTGCCTCCGAATATGCCAAAGCGAACTCTACGGGATTGTAACTCCATCGAAAATCTTGGACACTATGCCCAGAAGAGGTTTAGAGTACTGTCACGGCAACCTGCAAGGAGCCGAGGAACCGGAGACAAGGAGAATGTGCTGCCATTGGCATGGGAGGTGCGCTTCCCGGCCCAGCTGGGCATCGCGAAGAAATATCGTAGCCACCGCGTCCTTCCAAACGACATTCTTGAGGAGCTCGATCGGGAAGGCATCACTCCGGACAACTAATGATCCCTACTCCATTATCTTTATTCGTGTTTATAACTATACTATGTGTGCTCCGCTATTGCTACATATTCCCCTCTACTTGTATACCTGTCCAGTCATGCCATTGACCACTCTCTCCTCTGCGCGACACTCCCACCTACTTATCGGCTTTAATCAACAAGTTAATATGTTTGGCGCCCTGCTTCACGTGCTTCGTAACGCCGTGACATAGCAGTAGATTGTGCACCGGGCCAATCTTATGTCGATTGAACGTGTTCGCGATAGCGCGTCGCCCAATCATATACAGTGCCTGGGCGCCTGCACAGGTAGACCGCCCTGTGCGAAAGTTGACGTGCGCTTTTGTGCACCTGTAGCCTTCATCATCAGTTGACAAGTCAACAAAAGTCGACGACAACCCGGTGTCGACCGGCACATCACTGCGACCCAGAGGAGTACTGTCCGGGAAACCAGCGAGGACTCGGAGAGGTGTAAGGTTTAGCATAGATGCATTATCTGACCTCTACGTCTGTAGGAGCAGTCAGGACGAGCGAATATATACAAACGACATCTATAGTTAGCATATCCCGTCGTCAATGTGGCATATGAGTCCGCCTTGCGCTCAAGCTGCCAGCTGGGCACTTTCACCCTTCCGGCGCTCCCGGTAGTACGCGGTCGACTATTCTACGCGAGGGCCGACCATGCATCACGTGTTAACCCCTTGAAAAGGTTAGACCCGGGTCAGACCCCGAGTCAGACCCCGGGGTCAAGCCGAGAGGGTCAAGGGGTCGAGTCTTGACCCGCACACCTCTGGTGAAGAGGACGGAAGTTGAGTACAGCAGCATTCCATAGCGGCACGATGAGCCATCGGGAAGCTGCGGAACGACGACAGGCGCTGAAGCAGGCCCGCAGCGTCGGCCGGCAATTCTTGACATACGTCCCGGTCATCTTCTAGCTTCCAAGCTACGAGTAACCGCATCATTCTCTTAACGTGCTTCCCTTCAGTGCGTTCTCCTGGACGTGGGGATTGCCCCAGACGTGGAAACCCGAGCGGAGCTGCCCAGTCGAAGCCGCCCACAAGCGAAGGCGGGACTCTCGCAATCAGCCATCCATATCAAACATTTATCTACTTGACTCGTGTGGAGAGCGAGGACGCGAGGGGAAGACAGTTTGCGCACCACAACTTGCAACTGTCGTGTTGGGGTACTACTGTACTCAGAACTCGTTTGTGCCCTTGCCCCGCACTAGTCGGAATTGTGTTGACGGAAGCACCCTCAACTCCCCACAGAACCCGTTCCAGATGTACAGGGCTTCCAAGTACGTCGATTCCAAACAGAGCTGCGAATGCTTCTCTACCGTTCTTCTTGATCACCATCGTATGAAACAATTATTTGGATACATCGCTTGCTGTCCCCGACCCCGTAGCCTGTCGGGAATGTCACCCGCCCCATTGAAGAAAATTATGTATCGCATCCCTTCTGTACATACCGTCTCTATAAAATCCCCTCGTACTCGTCAATATCTTCCACAGGACCGGCCCTATCTGCATTCGGACGACCTCACCACAGCATCGCCTTCCTACAACTCTCTCCCATCACGATGCAGCACTGGAACTATTTGATCAGCATTCTATCCGTTTCTGTGCTCTTCCAATGCGTTTCTGCTCACAACATCCTCTTGACCAATGACGATGGCTGGGCGGTCGCCCAAATCCGCGCTCAGCGCGACTCTCTCGTCAACGGGGGCTTTAACGTACGTGCACTCTTGATGCAGTATCCACTTGTTCTACAGCTGACTGGATGGCGGACATAGGTGATTCTGTCATCCCCTGCTGTAGACAAGTCCTCGACAGGCTCTGACACCGCAACGCCCAAGCCACTCGCGCAGCCGTGCGAATTCAACTCGTGCCCCAAGGGCTCTCCTGCAGAGGGATTCAACGCGAGCGATCGTGAGTACCGGCTTAGTCTGATCGGTTCAGTAGAAGTTTGCTTACCTTGGTATCTAGCACGACTGAACTACGTCAACGCCTTCCCGTACGCTCATTGCATATCGGGCCACCTAACGGGGCGGATACTGATCATAAGAGACTTCCAGAGCTGATGCGGTGCACTATGGCATCCAGACGCTTTCACCCAAGTTCTTCGGCACCCCGGACTTTGTCATCAGCGGTCCCAACATCGGAAGTGAGCTCGATAGGACATGGTCTCTCTCCGTCATTGACCGATCGCATCGTCCACAGACAACATCGGAGCAAACCACCAAGGCTCCGGGACTATGTGAGCGTCGCATCTCGTGCGCTTGTCTCCCAGCGCTGAGGACACTCCTAGTAATGCAGCATGCGAGGCCGCCAAGGAAGGCATTCCCTCCGCGGCCGTCTCCGGCGACATACCCGGCCAGGGACATGTCTCGTACACGACCCTCACGACGTCGCCCAAGTCGCCGACCACGCTCACCGCGCTCCTCTACGCAGAGCTGACGACGAACTTCACGCAGACGATCTACAACCCTGCGGCGCGTCCGATCCTGCCCGCGAACGTGACGCTGAACATCAACTACGGCGCGACGACGTTCTCCGCGTCCGGGGAGCCCAAGGGGAAATGTGCGACGGCGAGCGACTTCAAGTGGGTGTTCACGCGGATGGCGAAGAGCACGACGGCGGTTGATGTGGAGACGTGCGGGAGAAAGCACCTGCCGGACGAGAGAACAGTCATCAACGCTGGATGTTATGCGAGCGTGGCGGTCATGAACGCCAACACGAAGAAGGACGTGAGCGCGAGCGTGCAGGCGCAGGTGCTGGATCGCCTCGCTCCGAGTGGCCTCTTCACGTGCTTCAAGGCGTGAGTACGATGGAGGGGATGGAGGAGCTATGAAGCCGAGTTTATGTGTTTCCCATCGACGTGAACCTGAGAATGGCTGCGCTCAGCTTTCGATTAAACGTGTTTCGTTACAGAAGCGCAATCGTGCGGATACAGAGCTTACTCTTGGAACACTAGATCCGCATAGGTTCTCCCTCTTTCCCTTGATATACCCGTTTGATGTGCTCGCCAACCCGTGCGCCGTCGCACGTCGTACCGTTCTTTTGAGTATCCCTCTTGCGATCAGTCTGTCAACCCACTGCCTTTTGATAACTAACTCTATACCAAGCTACGATGTGAATAAACTATTTATGCGACATTTGAGGCTAGGAATACATATGCTACAACCTCCGACCGCGCTCCACATCTTGCTATTGCCAGGTCAACGAGGTCACCTCGGCCGCCTCCGTGAAACAACTCCACGTCCCACCGGCCTTGATAGTAGTGCGAGTCGACTTTGTGAACGAAACGCGCTTCCAGGTTTGTTCACGTCTCACATAGTTGACCTGTGCTAATGGCCTCTGACACTAATGAAGCAAGGTAATACATTTTCATGATTGTGACCGGGACTCCATAGAAGCTAAGTAAAGCACGTCAGCAAGCCGCTCGGCGTGAGCCGATCCAACACCTGCGCCTGCACGTCCGCATCTACGTCCGACTTTGTGGTCGCATTCATGACTGTCACGGTGGCGAAGCACCCGGAATCCGCGACGGTCGTTTCGTCCGGCAGGTTCTCGCTCCCGCAGGTCTCGACATCGACTGCAGTAGAGTTTGGGAGAAGGCGCGTGAAGACCCACTGGAAGTCGCTCGCAGTCGCGCAGTCGCCGTTAGGCGCACCGGATGAAGAGAACGTCGTCGCGGCGTAGTTCACGTTCAGGGTGACGCCAGAGGGAAGGATCGGACGCGCGGCGGGGCCGAGGAGTGTGCGAGTGAAGTTGGCGGTCAGCTCAGCGTAGAGGAGCGCGGAGAGCGTGTCGGGGGAGTTGGGCGATGAGGCGAGGGTCGTGAAGGAGATCTGGGCATCGGTCGCAGCGGAGAAGGCGGCCGAAGGAATGCCTTCTTTCGCGGCTTCGCATGCTGCGCCGCTGGAGGTATGTTCAGTATTCGCCTCCGGTGGAAGAAGGCAGAGGGCGTTGCGTACACAGTTCCGGAGTTTTGTGTCACGGTTCCGAGGTTGTCTAGGACAGCTCAACTAGATGGACATAACGAAAGACTCGGCTTCGGGAGAACTCACTCCCGACATTGGGACCGCTCACAACGAACTCGGGGGCGGAGCCGAAGAATTCGGGTGCTAGGGTCTGGATGCCAAAGCGTACTGCGTCCACCCTAGAATTCAGCAGTAATCAGCACCTGTTTCAGAGCCAATCTCCGGATATTGACACACGGGAAGGAGTTGACGTAGTTCAATGTTGCTAGACACCGACGCACGGCATGTCAGCTGGAAGTAGTACAGTACTGAGCAAGGTTGGCCACTTACGGTCACTTGCATTGAAGCCCTCTGCCGGGGAACCTGTGGCACAGGTATTGAACTCGCACGGCTGAGAGAGTGGCTGAGGCGTCGCGGTTGAGGATCCCGTCCCAGACTTATTATCCGCAGGAGCTGACAGGACGACCTATGTTGCTGCAGATCAGTCTCACGACAGACCTGCGCGATGTCAAAGCGGGCGTACATTGAAACCTGCATCAACGAGAGCGTCTCGCTGAGCTCGGATTTGGGCGACAGCCCATCCATCGTCGTTGGTCAGGATGATGTTCTGCGCAGAGGCGCCCCGGATGAGGAGGGCAATCGAGATGGTGCTGACAAGAGAAGTCCAGTGCTTCATCGCAGAAGGATCGAAATTATACCTTTGGGAGACGGTGATAGGAGACAAACGCAGCAGGTTTCTCCGAGGTAAGGGAAAGAGGACGCTGGCTTATAAGGTTATTCATAACGGAGGGGGCAACGCATGGAAGGGCAGCGCACGTGCGTGCGTGAGCCGGTGATACTCTTGCTGGACCATATGGAATGGTGAGATGCAATAGAACGCTGAGGCAAACAACGCATCTTTTCATAGGATGAGGCGAAAGCAGGGCGGGGAAGCCGCATGGACAGCGAAGTATGGGCTTAAAGGAGAAGATAACGGACCACATGCTCCGCCATATTAGGATATGTGTGAGAGCCCACATCAGGAAAAACCTCCCGCTGAGAAGTCCATAGAATACATAAGAAAGGTGTATTTACCTGGGGAACTGAGGGAAATGGTGAAATCTCCAGGATTTTGGGCACAAGCTGAGAGTTCTACACACTTTCAGATGAGACGTCGGGCAAGCCGCCAGGAATTAGGCACTAAGCGCGTGCTGACCTCATTTTCACGAAGCTTCCATTTACCTTTTTGGACAGATTGGCGCCCGTCCAACTTGTGCCATGCGACGCCTCATGGACTCCATTGGGAGGCGTTCTGAGACATTATACATGCGCCATTATACTCTGTGTAGTCCTGCTCCTCGAGACAAGCCTGGGGAACAGGCCTCTGCTGGTCTAGAGCCGTCCGTCACCACTGGGCGACGCGACGCGCCAGCTGCCTGATTTGGATGTTGACTAGGCGCTGGTTGATCCGCGCCCGAACACGTAACCGACGTCGCTCGCCGTCGCTGGCACTTGCTCTGACTCCACCATTACCCTCTGTTTAGGTCTCCTTCCCCTCGACACTCTCCAGCTTTTACCACTCATTCGAACAGCCGTGCACCAACTCAAGACCGGACAGATACAAGAAACGCGCCCACGTGACCGTGCTACGCCGTGCTGGAGGAGTGGGAGAGCAGGACGCAGGCGAACACTGAGGCTCGCAATCTCTCGGTACGTTTCTAGTCTATCTTGTCCCTCTCTCCCGCTCTACTCGCCCTCCTTATTCTGTCATGAACCCTCCCTCCGCTTTCGACGTTGACCTGGACCTTGATCCTGTTTCCCTTCAATCATACCGTTGTTGCTATCCGGGCCGCTGTATAACATCATCTGTACCGTGCTGTACAAGTAGGAGCCCTGATGGCTCGAATATACCCCCTTGCTCCCGTCTATTCTCACCTGAAGTCGTGTTGAGGTGACTGTTGTGTGCCGTCTGCTCGTACACCATCCGCCGCCGTTCATTCCCTGTGATGTGTTTGTCTAGGGATCCATTTCGTAGCGGTTTCTCTCCATCCTTGCAACTGAGTTGTGACACCCTGAGGATAGAGTGACAACAGCGTCTTATAGGAGACGTATGCGAGACCAATTTCAGGATCGGGTGAGGAGGACGCGTTAGGGAAAAGGATCAGTATACATTGAAGAACGTGTGCATATCCTTGTCTGTGTTTACATAGAACACAGTACATTTCTCCAGGACGTTCTCACTAGACCAATCTGAAGGTACGGGGCCATTCCACTTGGGCGTAAGGTGAATGCTGCGCTGGATCAAACCTACCGGTACCACAGATACCAGGCGCTCACCGTCCTTCGAGGAGCGCGACACCTTATAGAATCCGGAGTTCTTCTCTGGGGAAGCGGGGAACTTTGAGAACCATTCGACATATGCAAGATGCCGAGGTGGGCGCTGCTCAGGTGGGATACCAGGGAAGTAATAGTCGAGTGCAGCATCCGGTAGCGTGAACACTACACGGATTTGCCCAACACGTAAGTCTATCACATATGCGTCAGTACGAAAAGCCGAATCAAAGTGGCCCGGGACTTACCATGTAGTGGGACCTGGGCTTCACGCGCTCGTGTTTGCGTGGGCATTCCAGACTCAGCATTAGGTGCGTTGGAGTGACGCACACGGATGAGTGCGGTGTCGAAACGAGCGGGGACCACAGTATCCTTCAGAGCTCGTTCGTTGACCTGGCGGGGATGAACATGAATGGAGTCGCAAGTCTCCTGTCCGAACACCTGCTCGTTCCAGAATTTGATACGGTGATAGACGGCAAGATGTGTGAACGGGATAAGGGTCTCTGAGATACGATTTTCGAGTTGGTGCGAGGTGAGTGTCGGGTGACGGAACTGAACAACAAAACGGCAGATGGCGGCACCAATATGTTTTGCACAGTATCCATCAGGAGACAAAAGCTCGTGGAGAGACACTGCCCTTCGTGTAGGATGTTGAGTCATCTTGACATGCAGCGAGCATGCAAGATCCGGTGGTTGCCATCGTTGATTATGCTGAGCTGAGAGGGTCGCCGGGCCAATGGCAGCTTGTTGCGAACGCCAGGAGATGTAGTTGTCGTGATGCAAAACCTTCTCACGACGCTCCAGCCACCTGGTCATCTGTGGGTATTCGTCGCGATGGTTTGTCGCCCGGTACGCGTCCTTCGTAAAATCGATGTGTAGCCGTTCCGAAGTCTCCGTGTTGTAGTTGTCAGTAGTCCCGTATAACTTGATGCACCGGATGTAGTGCAGTAGCGAGTGTAGTTTCGGGATATTGAAACCAGAGCGTATACCAAGGTCGATGAAGACGTCACGACTTTGGTGAAACTCGAAAAGACATTTCTCGAGCGCCTTGAGTGTTGTATCATCGTGGACAGGATATTGAGCCAAGAATGCGAACCGGAGGAGACTACGGGTGACGCAGACCAAGCGGTCAGCATGCTCGCGTGGAAGGTCCATGTCGACCACAATGGAAAGGAGGAACCGGCTGATCTGCCGGTGTTCAGTCCCAGTCACGCGTGAGAGGCCGGTGATACCTTTGTAGAATTTTCGGATGCTATGATTAAAGGGAAGACAGCGGACCCGAGCGTCGATCTCTGCTGCCCCACATGCGACCTTCAGCCAGGATAGGAGATGCTTGAATACACCTTGATAGACCTGATGGAGCACGTCTGCAGTGATAGAACGGAAGATGTCGGTGTAAGGAAGATCTTCCCAGAACGGATGCTGGACGGGTTTGATGTTCGCGTTGTCGCATGCCTGAACGAATGTGGGAGACTCGAGTGACTTGACAGCGGCGAGGGACACTTTCATATCACGGGGTGGGTGAGAAGACGGGAAGTCCCCGAGCTCGTCGTGTGGACAGGTGCATATTGGACAGTCGCCATTATAAGCACAGGCTACTAGACATTGCTCAGGATAGTCTCCGACATATGCAGCAAGGATGGGATGACAACGTCGTGCAACACCGTCTCCGCTGACCATGACAGTTCCGTGGACACCGGCGGCTTTAAGGGGCTCGAGAAGTTTGGACATGCACGCGTGGAAGAGGTTGGCAAGGACACGACGGCGGGCTGCTTTGTTGGTGATGTGCTCAAGTCGACTAGTTGGGAGGTATGCGAGAAGGATTTGGCCCTGCCGTCCGGGCTTCTGACGGATGGACTTGGGGAGGTTACCGATGGTGAGGTACACAGGATACGCCGTCTTGTTCCGAAAAAGAGTGAGCTGAGTTTTGTCAGAAGAGATGATGACCGGGATTACGGTCGCACCCGGGTTTTGCTCCTCAAGAGTTTCCTGTTCGATGCATTGGTACAGGGCATTCAAATTGAGATGTCAATACCATACCTGAATTGACCACCACCACTGCCCTGTATGCATATCATGGTACAAACGGACCTTATGGTCCGCATCAGCATAGTGGCGCTCGGGCGCAAAGCAAAGGTAATGGACGTGTTCTGGATCGCCGTACAGTGCCTCGATGCACTCCATGATGTCACGCGCATACATCTCGAATGCCTCGCCCATGACATGAGCTTCATGGTACTTGAAGCTTGGGCGGCGTGAGGGAAGGCTGTTATCGAAGATATCATGGAGCTGATTCGCGTTTCGGAATGAAAGTCCCAGCTTTTCGACAAGCTATGGTAGATCAGTCATGAGCCATGAGTAAGGGATATAAGATGCAACGTACCCCCTTGATGGTGAGGAGCTCTGTTAGAGCTGCAGAGCTGATGCCATGGAGATTCGCCCATCGTCCAACATCCCAGTCTGTCTCTGATACGAATGGTGCATACATATTCTCCTGGGAGCCGTGAACGCGCGAGCCATAGTTCCGATACGCAGACGTAGACATACGTGGCTCAGAGATAGGTGCGCCAGCTCGGCCTCCAAATTGGCGTATGGTGGCGGGAGCTTCACGAAGCCGTTCATGAGAATCGGTCTCCACACCTCCCGGACCGAAGTGTCTCTCCGTGTCGTCCTCGTCGACTGGTGCATCCTCAACGGTGGGACTGGGAGGCTGGGAACGCGAGGGGTTTTGTGGATTGGTAGGGGCTGGCTCATTGCGCCTTGGTTCGAGAGGACGGAGGAGGGGATTTGTGGACAACTGGGCTGGAGGAGGCGACAGAGCATCCACACCAACTGTATCTTCTTCATCACCGTCACCTTCATCATCGCTGACTTCAGCTACGTTAGGGACCTGTGTCACGTCAAAAGGTACATCGGTGGATTCGTCTCCTTCGAACCCAGGGAAGTCCGTTGTGGTATAGTCAACCCGACCACCAAAAAAATCGCCCTCGAACTCGACAGCAGCCTGAGAAGGCTCTGCGTTGTCATGCTCGCAATTCATAGCATCGCGCCCCTTCAACACAAGATTCTGATCAGCCGGCCAACGTCCTCAGATTTGTATTAAGGCAAGTCCCGACCACTCACCAGACGGTGGGCGCGTTCCGCTCCATTTCGGCGACGAGGGGAGTCGTGGCGGTAGGGTTTGCGGATCTTGGCCAAGAGAGCCTGACCAACGCGAATGCAGGCGGCTTCCGTAGTCCGTTGGAAATGCTGTATATAGTAGTTTTCACGACGGAATGTGGCCTTACAGGCTGGGCACTCCCAAGACGTGGACATTAGAGAGCAAAAAGAGTGATATTTGGAATTTGATGAAGGCGACAATGGAAGTAGAGAATAGGTGCCTAGCTGAGACCTGATATCGAGAAGTGTCGGGTGCAACCCCAACCAAAAAGAGTGTGGAGCAAAGCCGCCGCTGAGTTTGTCGGGGTCCGTGCTAGCTTTAGCGTCGCGCGGACGAAATCATAGCCGATGGATACGCACCAGACTGAGCTCGTCAAAAAACCTGGCTTGCGTCAGTCCATCCCTGCACCCCATCTCTCCACTCGCATTTTCCCTCCCTCTCGGCCCAGCTGTCCTCCCACCGCTCTCCAACCTCTCCAGAGGGTCTGTCCCGATGAGTGCTGAGGGAGCCTCCACCGCGGCCGCAAGGCTGCGAGCAGCCCTAGAGGATAAGGCCAAAGCGAGGTCCAGCAGTATTCGGAGCAATGCAGAACCGGAGTCAACAAGGCGTACGTACCATTGGCTTATATCTCCCCCACACCATTACCCCTGCAATCTCATACACGCGACTTTATGGCGACGTGCACTGCTTGCCTGTAAATCTTTGTGCCGTCTCTAAAGTTCCACCTATAGCTTCCCGTGAATCGAAGACGAAGCTGTTGCAAAATCCTAGTGAGTACGATTCAAGTTGTGGAATGGAAGATGCAAACTTACACGACATTAGCATGGGGTGTGCATAAGCCTAGAGACAAAGGAAAGGCGGATGGTAGAAAGCCGTCCTCGGGAAAGTTCATTCAGTCAACCCAGGTGGTCGACAGCTCCGAAGTTCCAGAGAATAAGGTGAAGGGGGGTTCAGGTGCTAGTAGGTCGAGGAAGGGAAAACGGAAGCAAGTGTTGTCCGATTCCGAGACACCCAAGTCAGATGATGAGGCGCAGGCGAATGACGGTAAGCTGCATTTTATTGGGGTCAGAAAACCTTGGGCTGAAGGATAGCATTGGCGGGGCACGTCGTAGTCGATGGCAAGGTCCGTGGCATGACAGGAGTCAAGGTTCCGAAGAGGCGAAAGGGGGGGTCCACAAGAGCGCCGGCCGAGTCTGAAGTTTTCCGTACGTACCTCTTCCACTCTACATAGTTCTCGATCTCTCAATTTGTATGACATCTGATAGAGTCCTTCTTTGCCCCCAATATCGACGTTGACAAGCCCGAATCATCATCGGACGAAGAGCAGCCTCGAAAGGTTACTCGACGTACGTCTGGCCATTCGTCGCCTGCTCTGTCTCCCACTCAAAGGAAACCGTCTGGCTTTTTTTTTTAGCTCGCGCGCATACATATCAACACCAAACCCCTGAAAGGCAGAGAGGAGACGAGCTCGATGACAATGGGGAGGCATCGCAGGGTGAAGGTCTCGGCAGCGACGAAGATGCGGATGCGGATGGAGACCAGCTGGAAGACCGCGACCTCGCATTCCGCATGACAGATACGCAGGTCTCGAATGAGGTACGTAGCTTACCTCTCTAATGTTGAGCAAGCAAGTCTCTGTGGCGAGAACCCTGGAGCGCACATGTGCATAGCCGTCGGTGTTGAGCATCCATAAGGATAGCGTGGCAAGACGCTTCAAGTGCTTTTTGGGTCCACGGGCCTAGTCTACAGTTGTTTCAAGGTGTTTAGGGCGTTGAGTCGGAGAGAAACGCCGGATTCATCTTGAAGAGAGCTTGTGCCGCGAGCAGAGCTGCCAGATCCATAGAGGTAGCCAGTGCGCCCATAGGGTATATACCTCTCAAGCTACGGATCGCCACGGTTCCTTCGCGGCACCTACTCAGAAGTACCTAAAGACGTGCATCAGCATACTGACCATGTTGGATGTCTTGCGGTTTTGACGTTGACGGCGGCGTTACCCTTCATTGGTATTCTCACCGAGCCAATGTCACTGACGCACGTTCAACCTCACAGCGCATCAATTGGGCCACCGACTTCACTTCACCAGTCAATGCCGGTACAGTATAAGTTTGTTCAGTCTAACCATAGCTTATCTCACCTGGCTTTGCATGGCCCGTTTATCACAGACAAGACTGATGATGACGAGCCGCTTGGCGTCAAGGCGCAGACGAGCCGAGAGACTCTCACCATGACGCGCCCGGTCCGGCCGCCTACTCGCAAGGCGCCACCCTCCGACAACTCCACCGATTCTGACAATGCTAGGGATCCGCCTCGTCCGAAGAGAGGTGATAAGATTAAGGGGAAGAAAAAGCAGGTGGGTTCTCGTCCTATAATCTCATTGACATCTTAATGCTAATATGATTCTGCGCCCTCTATACTCGCTGCCTGGTGACACAGAAACTTGAGGAAGAGGTGTCTATTTCCACCATTCTGTTGCAAGGAGCGAGACTCACAGTCAAAGCAGCTCCCGTCTGTGACTACAAAATTGCCACGGGGCGTGTCGAACACCTCCAAAGACCCTAGCGAGGACAACCGCAACTGGCTGCAACGTACTGAGATTACGAGCGCGCTCGTCCACTCTAGTACAAACAAGTGGACGGTCAGCCTGAAGTCTATGGGCCCGGAAATGCAGGCGGTTATGAAGCTCAGCTTTACGCTGGCCCAGCTGCATTTTGTGTTCCGAGACTTCGACGATCCTCCGCTAACGGATCCCAACCAGATCAGCACCATTGTTACAGGGTTCGACAACGCAGGTATCAACGATTTCGCTCTCCAATCCCTGGTCAAGGCGGCCACGCAGAAGGGTTATGCCAGCGAGAATGATGTTGTCGACCGTCTGCTCTACGGGTCCGCCAAGCTGTACGTGGATCCCTTAATCAGCTATGTGAGTGTTTCCGGCAGCACTGTTTACTACCATTGACGTCTACTGCTCTCAGGCGGCCCAGCGCATGAAGCAATATCGTGCCGCTGTGAAGAAGGCTGCAGCGTCGACCTTCCCCTCCATCATCAACCTGTCCACTCTTTCACCTGCCGGGCTTGAGGACTTGGGGCGACACTTCATCTTCCCGCGTAATGCTGACGTTCGTACATATTTCCCCTTCACATATCCTTGCTCACTTATGGCATATCCATAGGGTACCTGGGATACTAGACAGCCGTTTGCGGGTTCTGGTCTAGGAGAAGAGTGAATCTAGGGTAAGCAATCAGTACAACTCCGACAAGTGAAGAGGAGAATTACATACTGCAGTAGCTGCCAATGCGATCATGGCCGCAGGGATCTCATGCATCAGGAAAACGTCACGGACTTGTACAGGTACTTGGGGTACTTGGCCAAGTACCTCAAGTATCCCAAGTACCTCAAGTACCCCAAGTCCAATGGACTTGGCCAAGTCGGGTGGGTCGACTTGGCCAAGTACCAGGTACTTGGCCAAGTCCTCCAAGTCGCTGTTCAAGTTCATGCCCAAGTTCACTGTGAGATGTATTGAATAAAGATGATATGCATGGAAGTAAATCAAAGGACAGCTGCTCTTGATCAAGGTCAAGTGTACAATATTTGTTAGTGGGTGCAGCGGCGGCAAAAAAAATGCCACCACAGGGAATTGAACCAGCAACCTGCAATTTCAGTGTCCAACACAGCATGTTCAACCACTACACTACAGAAGCTCACACTGTAGCACAGAATAGCAGCCATATATAGCGCTCTTTGCTGGACTCCGAGAAATTCTTCACCATCCTCTCCTGTACCATAGCAGAACTTGGACATCCACCACTGATACCACTATTCTTGAGCATTATCTGGATATTGTACCTCTGTATCACTACTGAAACAAGCACATTGTAACAACTTAAAGTCTTCTATCACATGTTATTGCCCTTCTTCTAATAGACTATAAAGCTGCTTCTACAGCCATAAAACAGACTGGTTTACAACTAGTGTATGGATGTCTATGATAGATATTATTACATAAGAAGTATACAAGATGTGTGACTGATAGAACACCAATTGCTCAAATTGAGGCCTGAGTATACTGAAGTCAACATGTAAAGTCCAAGTTGTGGCCCAAGTACCCCAAGTACCCCAAGTATATAGACTTGGGTCAAGTCCGTGTACTTGGGACCAAGTACATGGACTTGGGGCCAAGTACACGGACTTGGGGCCAAGTACACGGACTTGAGTCCAAGTACACGGACTTGAGGCCAAGTACACGGACTTGAGTCCAAGTACACGGACTTGAGGCCAAGTACACGGACTTGAGTCCAAGTACACGGACTTGAGTCCAAGTACACAGACTTGAGTCCAAGTACATGAACTTGGGCCCAAGTATGGGTCCAAGTCCGTGACGTTTTCCTGATGTGTTCATTGACTGCTGATGATGAAGAGGACGTCATCCTCCCGATGTTGCGGAGACCAAGGCTGTGTGCATAGTCAGTACCAAAAAACATGGCGCGGATCGTTGTGCTGCTCGACGCGCAGATCCCTATCGCAAGCAGCAAGGGCGAGGAGTTTGCAAGCCCTGTCCTCGGGGGCGCATACAAAGGTTACCTCGAGTCCCTTCTTAGAGCGCGCAAGGCCAAACCACGCAAATATCACAAGATCACTCATCAGCTCTATGTTATGGCTACGTGAGTCTTAGCGGCTATATCAGTATTGTTTTATGATGCTCATACTTCGCAGCAATGGTCGTGCGGTGGTTGCGCAAAGTGGAGGATCCAGCCAATCGGACATCATTGCACGCGTCAACTGGGACGGTAACGATTCCGACTAGTACATCACTGGTTTTCTGCCTCGCCGACTCGCGCTGACCTATTACGCATCATCTTAGGATGAACTGCATCTGCATTTGGTACTCTTCAGGAATACGCCCGGTGACGTCAGCCCCACGTTTCCCATAAAGCCTTCTCGGACGGTTTCCCTTTGTCTCTCATTGTTACACCTCGTTGCCTTCGTAATACTCTATCTCTGTCTCCTGCCTGCCACTCTCTTAATGTTCCGCCTTGATGGCCTCGTTACTTCTCTTTCCACATTCCGGACATTGTTCTTTCCAAGCAGTGGTCTTCCTATAGTAGTGTAGTGTCGTTCTGTCCTATGAACAGTAATAGTATTTGTACAGCTTCAGTCGATGTCGGGCCACACGAGACTCAGCAAAAGGGTGCTTAAGCGACAACATCTCACCGAAAATCCACCAGACAGATCTTGGCATGCTGGCGGTTGCTCGCAAAATCTCACAAAACTCGTAACATCTCAATGAATGCACCTTGGCTCTCGGGGGACACTCTTTCTGCTCCTAGATTCCCCGAGTCGGCCAAAACGCCAAAATGTGTCCGGTTTTCTGGGAATAGTTGTAAATACACCTGTTTTTGGTGCGGAGGTTTTTCCTGATGCAGGGAAAAGTTTACCTAGGTTATGTTCACGTCGCTCATGATACTTTCGCCCTGATTTTGAGCAAAGGTGGAGTATATGGAGAGCTGACCATCTTCCGAGTGGTGGGGATCGTACTGTAAATACCAGCCAATAGTTAAAGATGGCTGTTCGGTGGACGCTTCGAGGGAACGATTCGGGAGACGATTCGAGAGGGGGGGAATCCGCGATTCTGGCAGAATCGCGTCGAATCGCCGGTGCGAGTCTGGAGGAGTACCGCGCACCCGAATCGAAATTCTCTGCACTCAATTCCCTCAGCCCGACCTCGGATAAGCCCTCTCAAAATAGGTTATATGTCAAAATCTGATTGGGGTTTGTCTTAGCACGTCTTACGAGCGACCATGGCCCTACTGCAAGCTTGCTGCTTCTCTACTTTTCTCAGAATCGCTGTGGTACAGATTCCCTCCACCTTCAAATGTCCGACCAGACCGAGACCCCTCCTTACAGAAAGTCCGGCCGTCTCACCTGGCAACCTGCTGCTGGCTCTGGCACAAAGACCGGAAATCGAGTGCGCCGTGTCTTGATGAACTGGATATATTCGCTCTGCGGGCCCGAGAGCTGTAACGAGGCATAGTAGGGGGAAGAACAACGCGGCACACGGAGAGAAACCATCGCGTGAGGATGCATAGATTACCTAACTCCGATATCACAAACGCCCGAAGGCCTGACCGACTTAAGAATCTGTCCTGTAATCGACCCGTAGAAACGTGGGGTGGTTAAAGTGTCACACGAATCCAGGACGATTCCCTTCCACAGAATCGCTGCAGAATCACTTGTCGAATCGTCCTCCGAAACGCCATCTTTGACTACCCCTATTGGGGTGGTGCGGCAGGACCTCTTGCCCACTCGCTCTGGAAGAAGTGGAGTGCGATCTCGGGCGATCTCACCTCCACTTCATAGCCTGGGCTTTGGCAAATGTGACCTATTTGGACCCAAGGTTGGCGCGATACATCTGTCGAGACACAGTGAAAGCTGAGTATCAGGCGATTCAAGAAGAGAAGTCTCCAAGTAGTGTTGTGCCACAGGACGTAACCTTAAGCGATAGCCGGGGTGCTCGGGAGTCATATACACACTGATGGACGCACGTTCATCCCTAGTACGTCGCAACCGCCGATGAGAAAGAGGCTGAATGGAAGGGGCCAAGCTCGCAGAGGTAGTGCTTCCGAATACGTATTCTTGTTCTCGAGCGATGTCAATAGACTCTTAAGTTCGCAAACGGTACAGGACTGGAGATCCGGGTTCCTGGTTGGTGGAAACCGGGGGTTGGGTCCCACGAAGCGGTCGAGTCGCAATTGGGCGTTGGGCGGCTAGCAGAGCCGAGACGGACATCCCCGACGCGCAATGTCCTCTTCGCTATTCTGCGTTTGTTCTTCCACTTACGTGCGCACTCCTTGTACAAATTAGCGAATGCCTCAGGCCCAGAATGCTAGCGTCAACACAGACGCTTCAGACAATTCAATATACAATGCCGTCTTGATAAAGCGGGACGAATCATGCCGACACGCCTGCCAGCTCACCTGTTCTGCACTAAAGGCCATGCCGGCTCTTCGCTCCAAGGTAGGATTCTCCATTAGTGTAGCTCAGCTCATACACCCGTTAGACCGATGTTACCAACGTGCACTGACACCAGAGTCGCATGCCTTTCCCATAGCTAATGATAGGAGTCTTCTCTCTCTTCAAGGTGGGTGAGTGATCTACCTTATCAGGCGTTTAGAACCAGGCCCGTCCGGAGATTATAGCGGCCCAAGATCCTCTCGTGAGTCCCCTGCGTTGTCAGTTGGACGTATCACCGCCACAGCCAGATCTGTCGTTGTAACTACGCATGAGGCAGAAGGTTCAGGTACGTCAGCGTCAGTGGATATACTTTCGGATGCCAAACTCCGGCGACATGAAGTGGCTCACGGCCTTAGGTCCATAGCTCCAGCTCTCTCCTTCGCACCTCTCCCTCCACATACTATTTGATACCTCTCCGCGACGTCAACACCGCCGCTGGCCTCAGGAGTGGTACCCTTCCCGCTTATCGTCGACTCTTCGTGTGCGGCACGCGAGCTTGGCTTTGGTTTACGAGGATAGACGTAGTGCCGGATGTAGCGTGAGTCCTTCCGTCAGCTGCATAGTTTGTCTAGCTATTCCCTGAACCGTTACTTAGATATCAAGCACGCTTTCTCAACCGCATCCTCTCCTCAGTCGCTTTCTGTGAGTCAGGAGAATCTTCACGTCTGCTCGCTCATCCCTAACTTCGGTCCCTCAACAAAGCGTTGTTATACTATGAGTATGTCCTGACGTTGCCGCTAGAAGTGGAGCGTTACTGGCATTCCGCGTGGTCGTGTGCCTCGGTCCTCTTTTTCCTCAATCGTTACTTGACCATCTTTGGCCACATCCCCGTCGTCGTCGAATTTTTTGGAGTATTCCCTCAGCCGGTATGTCTGCATCCTCTCTGTACACCTGTAGTGAAAGGCTTAACTCGCTGGGCGGACAGCTGTAGGTCGCCTGCTCATTAGTGTGTATCATTTCGAATTGAATTGCTCTAGATGTCGGCAGCTTCAGCAGTATCACCGCATGAGCAGCGCGCTCATACAAGGGGTCGTGGCAGGTAGGCATAGCGATACATAGTGTGGTCGATCTAGACTTATCCTGGCGAATCTCCAGGGTTGCTCACGTTACGAACATATGCCCTTTACAACCGTAGCAAGAAGGTGCTTGCTTCGCTACTCTTGCTGTTGTCCGTCGCGGTGGCTATCACACTCGTGAGCATCTAATCATTGCCTCGTTTCGCTGGGCGGTTAACTGACTTCGGTTTAGTGGACAATCATCGGTAACCGGCATGCACACAGGCCACAGCCCACCGATGCCCTAGCTACTTCCAACGGATGCGATCTGACGCTCTCCCAGCAGGAGTATGTGTACCTCGTTCTTTTTGGCAAGAATACGAAGCTGATGTTTCGGGCCGCGCAGAGGCTATAGTGAGCACTTTAGCTTGATGACCGTCTGCTTCGTTTATTCATACCCTACCAGGTCTCGCGCTGGCCTGGAGCACTATCCTCATCTTCGATGCCGTCGTATTTGTTCTGACCGTCTTCCAGACAGTCAGGACTGGCTGGCACTGGAGAGGGGGTTATTTGCGAATCATGTTCCGAGACGGTGAGATCTTCAATGGGCACTGTTTCCGTCTCTGAGCAGCATGGAGCCATGCAGTTTGATCTTTTGGGCTGTACTACGTTGATGCTGACGAACGCCCCACTTTCTAGGAGCAGTCTATTTCGGGTGGGTGGTGCCACAATTTGGGTTCTGTAAGCGCTTCGCAAACCTTTCTCCGGGACAGAATCTTGTTCGTATGCTACCTCTCAAATATACTGGCCTATGCGGTGCGTGCAATATCTATTGGTTACGTATGTGTCTGATCAATTGCCTCTTCAGTTCGCCGAGGTGAGCCGTGATCAATGTATCGCCCACGCCAAATTGGCATCCATGGTTCGGTGTTCTATAGCCCGTGCACAAGGGCGTTAGCACTTCCCTGACGAACGTGTACGTGTTCGCCGACTGTTGTGTTCGCCGACCGTTGGTGCTCCTGTGCTTCTTGGCTAATTCTCCTACACAGGCTATCCTCCGCCCTCGTAACGCGACTGATGCTCAACATCCGCGACCTCAGAATACCGGATCCTGCGCCGAGGATGATAGGGGATGACATGGAGATGTCCAATAAGAGCACCATTGTGTGGCGACGATATGATTGAGGCGCGGTTAGGAGGAGGGTGCAACAACCAGTATTTTTGAGCGCACGACTCGGATGCTAGTGCTCGCCTTGAATGATTCTGCTACTTGCGCCAATGTTCATTGCCACAAATCGAACTTCGGGTTCTCCGACTAATTTTCACACGATACTAGTCTTGAGGGTGGCATGGGCACAGTGTCATCGTTGCCAACCCTCTCCATCGGCGGGAAGGATGATCTCACACCAGCTCTTCCCCTGTTGTCTGCTACCCCCGCGTGAGGACGCTGCAGAAGAGTGCTTCGGCAAACATGATCATGTTGGCCGAGGTGCGACATAGAAGCTGACAACGAGGGAAGATGTCGACGTACTTGGATGTGCGTTCTCACGGTGCCCTGTGCTTAGCCCCTTCCCGCCATGATGCTCTTGGAACCCCTCCCAAATCTTCTTTCAATGACAGTCCTGGGATTGATCTGCTAATAGGGTGCTTATACCTACCAACCCGGCATCTAGGTACTCATGGAGACTATCAGATGTGTATAATTCTGAGAATCGGCATCGAGAAACGGTGTTCACGCCGTCGGAATGTAGCTTAGCACGCAGGTGCGTAATATCTCCCATGAGTGCAGCCCATCATTGAAGGCTTTCCTCAGGAGCTGGTCGGCCGTTTACAGTTTCCGACAACCACTGGTGAGTTATGACCGTTCACCGTTCCTATGGTAGTGGCTTACATCTCCGGCTTCACTTTCGAGAACTGTGCATCTTCGTGAACCGGATCCAGGTACATCCCGGGATCTGAGCTTATCATAAAGCTGCTCTGAGTATTTGGTATTTGTGGATAGTTCAATATGCCGTATGGGAGCGTACAATGTCGAAGCTTCGGTGGCAGCACGTACAAATAACCAGGGCTGTGCGTGGCTCATCCCTCAAGTATCGCTGACCTGTAGTGGTGCATCCCATGTACACGTAGACTCCCAACGTCTTACTTCCTCCGACACTCCACCGACCGACCAAGCGCATTCCGGAAGTCTCTTATGGATACCAGTCTTGGTACATCGAAGTACGTCTCCCTGAGCAACGTAATATGTGGAGAAGTTGACGTTGGGATGCTTTAGCCTCTCTGGTGCTCAATCTGTAGTTGTCGTTCGCATATGTGCCTCTGTCTCACTTGGTATGTGTTTTATTTAAACTCTCGGTTCAACTCAGGTGATGTTGACGAATTTTCAAAGCGATACTGTACTATGATTATGCTTTGACCATTGGGGCAGAAGTGGAACGATTTTGGATGCGGCGCCGGTCGCTCGTGTCTCATATCTTCTTCTTGAACCGCTATCTAGCCCTGATTGGTCACATACCCGTAATATACGAGTTTTTTTGGGTGCATGACACTACCGTAGGTATTCTCATATTTCTCTAAAACTCTCAATAACTGGTCTGCAGATGTAAGTTGCATGCGTAGATTGAGATGTTTCACAACATTCATAGAACACCAGCTGTAACATACTCCACGTTTACCAGGAATTACTCATTGCCGCGATACAAATAGTTATCGGAGGTAGTAGGGTTCAGTCGCAAGCAAAGTAGTCAGTCCTCATTGACATGCCTGGTTCCCGTCTAGTCCTCCAGCTGTTCCGCACGTACGCGCTGTACAGTCAAAGCCGACGGGTTCTCTCTTGCCTGTGTGCTTTCGGACTCATCGCATCCTCTGTGGCTATTGTGAGTGACCTGACGTAGCATGCCGAAACTCATTTTGATGCCATTCTATTACAGTGGGCTGTCACAAACGCATCTGAGGACTCGAAGGGTGACCCCAGCAAGGCTGTTCCTACCTTTGGATGTGAAGCAGCTCTGTCAGAAACAGGGTAGGCAAACATATCAACAGATGTTGCGGTCATTGCGTGTGACGGAACTGAATCTTCCCATTGAAATCCTCAGGGCACACTGTATGTCTCCAATACACTTTTCATGCTGGAGTGCTCCGCTCAGTACTTCTTGTGGTAGTCCTAGCAGTGGCTTGGAGTGTTTCCCTAGCATATGATGCCCTGATGTTTGCGCTCACACTATATAAGACACTCCATGCGGTTTACAACAGGGCGACCCGAAGCAGCCTTAGCACTCTTCTACTAAGGGACGGTGAGTGTCAAGCCTACAATGACCGCGCCAAAATCATGAACTTCTGTCTCTCCAGGAGCATTCTACTTCGGGTACAGTAATATTTCAATCAAGTAGTATAGCCCGATGGTCCTGATGACTCTTCATATTTTGCTGATACAGAATCCTTCTCCTATGCAATGTTGCGAATATCTTGACTCTCATCGTATGATGCAGAATTTGTCTTAAAGCGTCATTACAAACCCTGACTTGTACATCTGTAGCTCCCACAGCTACCCGTAAGCAAGAAAAGTAGTTTACATTCTCTTCTTCGCAACTCAGTATCCATCCATACATGAATTCAAAGCCTCCGCTCAGAGGAATCAGCGTGAATAGAACCACCACGTACGTGTTGTGACGTGCAGCTGAAAGCAATTGGCGTAGCCTGCTGATTGACGGCATATGCAGGATCTCGACCTCTTTAATGGCACGCTTAATGCTCAACATCCGGGACCCAGCTATGCGCGAACCCCAGCTGTCAGAGCCACCGCCCAGTGCAGCTCCAACCTGGGAATTTGTCCCTGTCGCGCTGGATACTTTTTCGACAGAGCTTGGAAGTAGCGAGGCCACCTATTTAGAAGCGCAAGGTAGCATGGAGGCTTGGGAGACAGGTCCGGCCATATCTCGAGGGCCGAAGATCAACGGCAGAAGCTGGCCCGGAAGGTAGCCAACGAGTGTCAGGGAAGTCAGACAAGGGATCGCGTCACAATCTGCTCCTGCCCTGGCCCTTGGTTTACCGTCCAGTTCCCGTGCCCAACTAGTAATGAAACTTGCTTAGCAGTAGAATGTTACGCCTTGGCTCGGTCATAGGGCTGAATTTGGGAAATTTTTAGGTACTTTCTGTCTGCCGCGCTTCCGTCTAATGAGTATGCATGAGACGTCAATGCAGGATGGCCTTGCCGGATCGTCAACTTTAGTCAGACCATACGTCGAAAGCCTTTGCAAGATAGCCTATTTACCACACTTATCGGACTGGTATACACTGGAGGTTCGAAGTACGGCCAACACATTAGTCAACGAACAACCTGTTCACAGCTGGTGTACTCAACAACGAGCGTTGCATTTCCCCCAGCCCCCTGTGTTCGGATCAGCGTCCGCCCCCTGCCGAGCCCCACAAGCCAGCGCTCCGGCCACCTCCCAGCTAGGGGACAAGCTCGTCGTGACTACGCAAAGTGCACCGCGCCTCTTGCTACGTGACTTTGAGTGCTACAGGACATGCGATATGCTGCCTGCCCGCAGATTCCCGCTGTGTTCAGGTGCTTTCAGCGGCCTATCGAGGTATGAATGATCACACACCGACTTTTTGCTTTGTCTTTAATTGAAGCCGCGTTTCATGATATGTGCTCGTGATACAACGACTTTGCGTGCCTTGTGGTTGGGGAAAAGTAGGAGCGAATCTCGAAGCATATGCTACCTGTCGCTCAAAGATGTATCTATCAATCCGAAGCCATAATCTCAGGTGCGCTGCATGCACGATTCTTCGTTACAGAGACATAGTTCTGAATGAGCGCGAGGATTCATTCATTTTTGACGCACCCCATGTCCTGAGATTAGCAAGACGATTTGGTACGACGATACGCGGCAGTCGTGTCACTTTACGACAACATACCTCGACCCAGCTTGAGAAGAGGATACTATGCCGTCACCGCACATACTAACAACATCGCCATCAAAAGAAATGAGCTTCGAGGCCCGGCGTGCTAGTTAAGAGGAACGCGACACTACTAAACTTAAAGGCTTGCAAGTCTCATGGCCCGGGGATGCTCAACCGAGCGCTGATCCGAAAATTGCATCATGTCTGAGCCGTTTATAGCGCACACCAGAAGATAGAGTTCTGACTACACGAGAGCATCTGCGCAAAAACAGAGTCCCGGGACAATATCGCAGATGAGACGACGCAACCAAGACGCACCCCTGGAACCCTAAACCATAGCAGCGCCAAGCACTACACCCGCAACGACGTGACGGCGAGCGCAGTAAAAGCCGTAGTGCCTGTTCTCTTGGTCTCGTGACCAGACGTTCGGAGCTTCAAGCGGGAGCGAAAAATCGGAGGTTCCCTCCGACTGAGCTAGTTGGTGTTGTGGCAGACGCACTACTGTCTGCTGTGGCGACCGTGGTGGCGTGGTCAAGATCATGTCTCGGTCCGCGCTCGGCAGACAGGCGGGTACGTTGATCCTGCGGCGATGCACGCATACCTTCAACGCACATATAAAAGACCATTCGTACAGTTTTCCATTGCGTGAAGATATCGAAAAGCGCACGTTGACAGCACCAAACACAGGCTACTCAGAAGATCTGACCCAATACCAGCCCGGCCCCTCCCAGAACAGTCAGAACGGAGACCGCCACCCCAGTGATACCCATTCTGATACTCCCCGCGCCGTTCGTCTTCATCTGGACCTCTACTTTGGCTGCAGCCTGAGTGAAGACGATGCCGCTGACAGTCGCTGATGGAGCCGCTGCAAATTCCGTGCAGACAGCCATTGGCGCCCCGGTTCCACTCGCCCCCGTCTGCAAAGCGCAGTCTACGGAAAGGGTCTGAGAGCCAAAGGCGCCGAACATGTGCGCATCCGTCGAGCCTTCGACAAGAGTCACTGTGTGTAGAACGATGGGTGAGTGGTCCGATCGAGCTAAAGTGGAGCTAGAAATACGATGTGTCTAGGGATCGAAACTTACCTGGTGCGGTTGCGAGCGCACTTTCTGCAACACCTGTTTTGGTGAACGTCCCGCTGGCTGCTCCTTCCTTAAGCACCCAAGTAGTATGTCCGCTGCCATCTGTGCCTATAATAGTAGCGGACATGGGGACCCCAGGGGCGAGCTTGAGGGGAAGGAACAGCGAGACGGGGCTAGCTGAGATGGCTGAGATGGTGGGTGACGTTAGGAGCAATTACAGAAGCTGGCATTCAGCCACTCACGAAAAGCACGGAATATCGAGAGAAAGATGAACGATAGGATGAGAGCACGAGACATGTTGGCTGATAGTCGCGGGAAGGGTTACGGAGGAAACAAGGAATTGAGCGACGGTACAAGGACGTCTCAAGGGTAACACCGGCGTGAAGTAGGTCTGGAAAGAGAACGAAATGATATCGGCCGGCGATGGGCTAGCAAGGAAGGCGAATGTGAAAGCGAATGGTAGCCTGTACTTGGACTGTCAAGAGAACGAGGAAGGCAGTATGCGGTCTCTGTCCATGCCATCCTGTTATTTATACCATCGAAGGCATAGGTATAGCGCTCGACGCACTCAAGCAAGTCACTGCGCAGTGCTTCCTACAATGTTTGCTTCCGGAGATGTCGCCTGTAAAGGCATCATATAATGAGTGCGCCTGACTTGTCTGATGCGATCGAAGGAGGCGGTCGAAGCGTGTTCTATGATACAGTCCGCGATGGTGAGAACATTCAACGGTCAATAGCCTGGATGCAATAATGGACATCAGCCCATTATCACTGTAGAACAGAGAGGCCATCGGACCTGTCAGAACGACAGCCTTGAAATCCTTGTGAGAGAGCCCGAAAAGAGCGCCTCGCCCGCAAAGGGTGATCGTGAAGGGAGCGAGAAGCATGAGAGACGCACAACGTTCATGAGCGTGAGGATGATCACAAGATCCGCGAGCATAACATGAAGCTATAGCCAACCAAGACCAACTCCACATATGCTATGCTCGCGATGGGAGCTCAGCCCTATGAGTTCCCGTCATTTTGTCCAGAGAATGCTACAGGTCATGAAGAATGGACACAACAACGTATATGCAAGATACGCATGTCGCACAAGATGGTGTCGATTGCATTGAGTCGTTAGCGCAACGGCGGCCATTCAGGAGATATGCATGCGCAAACGGATGCGCCACAATCGGATTGAGAGATGGTACGTACAATCACATCCAGCTCCGCGGCGCCAATACCACACTTCAACTGTGGCTCCAGATCCTTCGGATGCAATGACAGCGCTGCATACAGCGCCCCAGTAGACGCATCGCATCGCACCGTATACGACAACCATGGTACGCACATGCCTCCACTCGCTAGCAGTGGGAACCACATGGTGATCATACACCGACGTCCGCGAGCGTCCTGCTGCCACCGTCCGCCGCATTCCGGTCTGCCAGGCTCTGAGCGATGAAGGCAACGTTGTCTTGCGGGGGGTCAAATCCGAGCGTCCTGTGCTCCTCCGAGTACAAAGCGCTGCGAGCTCTGCCAGATCATTGATTGGTATCCGCTGCCGCTGATAGAGTTAGAGTGAGGTTGGTGAGGACCGCACCTTTGGTGACGGGATGGGCCCCACGCCGGGCGACAGCAGCTTGCGCCTGCGCAGCGAGGGAGCCGCTCGGTGGCACGTAGCCCAATCTACATCGAAACAACAGTGAGTACGCAGTACGTATCACCCGCACCGGACAGCATGCTCAAGCTCACAGAGCGTGTTCCAACGACTCGAGCCTCTGCGCTTCCTCCCTCGTGATCGTGTGCAAGTTGATGCACGCCACCATATCCTGTTCCCGCTCCGGCCTTTGACCGGCAGTCATGTCAGAAGCCGCGCATATAGTCACTTAGAGGCGGAATCAGCCTTCCCCCGGTGGTCGGGTCTGGGTGCTCCAGGCCGAGCTCGCCCTGCGGGTGGAAGTGGGCGGCGGATTGCGCCTCAGCTGCGAGCGACCCGGCGGGGGCACGGTACCCAAGTTGGCTCGTCTCTTACGACAGGATCTGGCGGGCTTCGTCTTCAATCGGGCATCAGTATCTACTACTACGCCGAGAGGATGATCATGGAATGAGACTTACTCGCTCCGATTCCTCTCATGTCTATCCCCACCGTGTCCGCGGCCGTCTGGAACTTGGCTTCTCCGGGTACGGTGATCGTGTGATTTCTGTACGTGTGCTGCCCAGTGCCCACCCAGGTCGTCTCTTCACACAACAGGTCATCATTTGTGCGTGTCTTTGCGGAGGTCAGTCAACAGAAAACGCCCACGTAACCCGTACCGCATCAGCCTCTGCCGCTTCCACCAGAGCCTTCTCGTTCGGAGAGAACAAGCTTCCCTCGGGGTGTTGCGCGGCGGCCGACTGCGTCTGCGCAGCGGGCGAGCCTTCTGGAGGCCTGTATCCGAGTGCCCTGTGCTCATCAGAGACGAGTATTCCGGCTTCTCGCGGCCTGTTCAAGGAATGGTGCGTTCGACGAGGTCATGATGGTTCAAGTCTGCCCAGTCGATGAGTCCAATGGTGTATGGAGAAGCCTTGCTCGGACATGAGCGCATTTGTCGAGGCCTGCATGGCGTCGGTGGAGGTCGACGTCATGTCGACTTCCACTGGCAAACGAGGACCTTCCTTAGAGGGCGATTGATCCGCGCGGGCGCTCCGACTCCTCTCCTGCGTTCTCGACCTGCACCTGCAGGCGACCTAGCAGGCTCGCAAACTGCCACAAAAACTGCCACAACGCCAACGGTACACGCATATATGGGGGTCCAGCGATGCAGATAAGTTATAAATCGAATCGAACGAACGAACAAGTACATCAACATCGTCTAGTATTACACAACGTCGTTCGGTGTACAGCGGACGCGCCGTGGACACGCGGCCAGATATTGACGTAGCTATACGACTAGCGAAAGAGGCATACATGGGAAGAGAGGGAGAGAGGGATGACAGACGGCACGTAATCACGGAGACGAGAGACGAGTGTTCAGGAGGGAGGGTTTGCCTACGGGTTTTGATACTATACGAGGAGCAGCAACAAGAGGAGCGGAGAGGAGAGCCGGGATTCGTCACGGATATCTAGCAACCACAGGAGACAGAGGACAGTATCAAATAGCAGGCCATCACGGAGACGCTTCACTCGTCGTCGTCGTCGCCGTCGCCGCTGCCGGCGCTATCAACCTTCTTGACCTACAAAGGCATTATGAGCACGCAGCTAAGAGCTTTATATGAGGGGACGTACATCATAATCGTTCTTTTCCTGCTCTGCACGTGCCTTGTCTGCCGCTGCTTGGTCAAGGTAGGGCTACGAGTTATACCGTATTAGTACAATACCCACACCAGCTGATCGCTGCCACTAGGACCGCATATATCGATGGGTGGACTTGGGAGCACGTGTAATCAGGTTCGTTTACGAACCCCACGACGTCCCGCCATCCCACAGTATATGCGCGGCGTGCAGAGCAACAAAAAGACGCACCTTCTTCTCCTCGTCGTCAAGCTCCTTCCACTTGGCCCCGAGGAGCTTGCCGATTTCACCTGTTAGACGCGTGCTGTCAGCCCCCGTCGCCGTCGCGACCGACGAACACGACCTAAAACTCACCGAACCCGGCGTCGGGGTTCTCAGCTTTGATCCTCTCGCGCCAGTCCTGGCTGAAGAACATGTACGCAGAGAGGGCGCGCTTGGGTGCCTTGGGGTCCTTCTTTCCCTTCGCCTTCGGCGCCTTCTCAGCCTTCACGGCGGCCTTGCGCTGTCGAAGAACCCGCCGTCAGCACCGTCGAGCGCCCACAGACCCTTCCAGAGAACCACAGAGGGACACAGAGTGGGGTAGGGAGGCATATGGGGAGCATATACACACCTTGGTGGTCTTGGTGGTCTCTTTGGGCATCTGCAACGTCACGAAACTCGTCAGTGGCTTGTCCGACACGTCGCGAAGCAAAGTGGAAGGGAGCCGACACGAGCCGACACGCTCGCGACGCGCACCCCCGAGCACGCGTCTGGGGAGCGCGACGCAGCGCCCCGCAGTGTGTGCGCGTCGCCGCCGCCGACGGCGGGCTCGCATCGATCGCGCGTGGGGATCCGATAAGGGGGTTTGGGCTGCTGTACGCACCTTGAATCGATTGCGGACGGGGGAAGGGGCAGGTGAGTGCAGTGGTGGTTGTTGGCGGGCGGGGGACGGTAGGCAGCGCTAGGCGCAGGCGTATAGGCAGAGGAAAATGGCTGGCTGGGACTGGCACTGGCTGGCTGGTGAGAGGCTCTGCCTTGGTGGGGGCGCAAGCCCTGCGGGTGAGAATCCCTGTTAAACAACCCCCCCTTACCTAAGCCCTTGTGACAGCCTCGCACGTGAGCACCCGCACGGACCAGCGCTCCCGTGACACCCTCGCGTTCCGTGACTGTGACCACAGCCCATGAGGCCCAGACGCCCTGCGTACGCGGAGGCGGTGAGCCGTCGTCCATCACTCTTCCTGTATGTCATTACCGAATCCCCGCCTCCACCCACGCTCTGCACTGCACACCTGCTCTGAAACACTGCAGCAAGCAAACTTTCGACTGCTTGAAGGGACGAGCACAATACGAATTACGGATACAATATAGCACCGTGACAGCGTACAAGAGCACCCCGGGGCGCTCGCTGGCACACGGCCCAAGGACCGCCTAAGCTTCGGCGGCGCTCCACGAGGCTAGCTTCGTTCCTGGGCATATCAGCCCTCCTCCGGTCATCTGCTCGCACGTATCATCTCTCGCACTGAGGGCGAGATTAGAAGGCGGCCACATAATACACACGCACTACATGGATACAGGCCAATAGCGACACACTAGCGTACACAACACGATCACTAATACACGACGGGCATCGCCGCACGGGCAGCTCCGGACACTCCTTGAGATCCAGCACTCGCTTCGACGGATTCTCGCTTTCTTTCTTGTTCTTCTTTGGAACCGCCCGGGCAGCGCGCTGGAGCTGCTGCTGGGCAGATTAAATGATAGCGAGCTAGCGCAGTCGGCCACCCGGCAACCGGCAGCGGGAACAAAACGATCATACGAGCAGCGGGGGCATGGGATCCGCGTCTCTCCGGTCAAGGATGTCGTAATGGCCCGGTCTGATAAGGAGGGCATTGAGCGACAGGATGCAGGTATGGCGCAAACACCCGTATACTATGCATACGCACCTGTACAGAAGGTTCACGGGCTCGATGAACGTAAACGGCGCGTTCTGGAACGGGACGAAGGACACCTGGCCCTGCGGGTCGTGGCCGTCGAGGTA